GTCACCACCTTGCCAGAAGTCATTTTCAGAAAGATCTTCCCACATCCTTCAATCTTGGCGGTTGCAGCATTTCGCATAGAAAGCGTCTCTTCGGGTCCAACAGGAGCATATGTTGCAAAGGCTTCCTAACAGCACAAACATGGCGAGTGGCTCCAGAATCAATTCACCACTCCTTAGGATTTTCCACCAAGTTGCATTCAGAAAGCATAGCAGACAAGTCATCAACATCTTCATGCTTTTCAACCATTTCCCTCCATTTCCCATTCATCTTGTTTTAAGCCGTATTAATGCTTAAAAACCCAATAAAAAGTATTTTTGAAGAGAAGCAGTTTGTATTTGGCTAATCACTCTGAAAAGCACTTCTGAGCAATAATTTATGTTTGGCCAAGCTTTTCAAAAAGTATTTTTAAGTATCAAATTACGAATAAGGACATGAATAGATTTACTTAATAGTTAATACTATAAGTACATATAAAATCTCAAAAGTTTGTTATTAGAGGCAATGATAAATTTTTTCATTTTATTTAAGTAAAATATGAAAATAAAATTAAAAAGTATTTAATTCTTTTAATATAAGTTAAATATATTAAAATTCATTCAACAAATATAAAAACATTCACCCCTAGCGTCACTATATATTAGAAAGCTATCCTAAAAATAAGAAGAAATACTTATACAGTAATATCCTAAGTATTAGGTTTAACGGTTATTTTGGTATATACTATATTTTGTTAAGGGTATTTTAGGTAAGAAGAAAAGTTAAAACTGCTTCTACTTCTGCTTTTGGGAAGAAACTACTTTTTTCTGTTTATGTTTTTTCTCAAAAGCACTTTTTTCCCTAAAAAAGCTTGGCCAAACACCTCAAGTTAGGAAAAAAAGTATTTTTGGGGAAAAAAGCACTTTTAGCCTCTTGAGAAGCTTGGCCAAACAGGCTATAAGGCAGAGACGAGTTGGTTGCATTATACTTTGATTCTCTTAGGAGACAAATGGGTTAAAATTAGAGGCATCTATAGACACGCTCAAGGATCACTATCGTTCCAGCAATATGAAACTTTATTTCTTTTTCTTCCATTTTGTTGATCAACTGATTTGCACTAGCCAAACTCCAAAGCAAATATTAGGTTGCACAAAGTTTATACAAGCATCCAAAACCTTTTAAGCATTTTCAAATCAAGGCATATTTCTAGACACACTGTACGACATATATCAAACATGCCATGTGAAGTTCAATGAGGTCATCTATCTGTCTGCGATATCTAGAAATCAAATGTAACAATTATTTACTAGAGGTTTTGCCATGGAAGTTTCTCAAACTATTGCTACAATTTTTACGTTATTTTTTGTAAGACTGTGAATTACTATTAATAACAACAATGAAGTATACAAACTAAAGAGCACCGCCACTTAACAAAAGTGATCTAGATCTCACAACGAATCTACTAATTACACAAAAAGTCTCTGTATGAACCTCCTACTTCGATTCATCTTCCTGGACTTGTTAAGTTTTTCTATTCTTCCTAACAGTTCCTTTTTAATCTGTGCAATTACCAGCTCTTTTTGTACAGTTTGCCATCTAAAGATTCTCCAGTTCCTAGCCCTCCATGTATGATATATACTCGCTTCCCACATTGCAACTACCATTTCCTTTTTACCTTGCTTCCAGTGCTTCCTTTTTATGTTGGCTAATACTTGATGATAGTTACCAATCGAGTTGTGAACACTAGTCCATTGGAACAGGGAATTACGAATTGTTGTTGCTCAATTACATTCCACAAATGAGCGCCAATGAGATTCCTCGACATTATCATCACATAAACAGCAATTAATATCTGCCACTGGAATATGTAGCTTGATTAATCTCTCCTTCAGCAACAGTCTACCTTGTAGAGCAAGCCAAGCTATGAATCTGTGCTTAGGTTAAGCTACAACAGTCCAAAGAAGTCATGCTGTTTCCAGTCTTCCATGCACCTCAATGATGGCATTGTAGCAGTTCGAAATAGAATACTCATCCCCTATGCTTTAGGTCAATCTATTATGTTGGTACCAATCCTTCATTTCCTCTTTTAGAAAGTTAAGTTTCCTCCAATACCAGCTACTATCCTATTGAGGTTTGTGATTCCAAATATTGGATACAACTCTAAGCATCAAATTTATTTAGCTTTAATGAAGCTATCTCTTCAAAAATAATTACCTGCAAGTTCAAGGAACTAAGAAGACCGTACCATGTTTAGTAAAATGCTGAAGGATAGCACCTGAATTCCCATATCCATGACACCTACCTCTCCTCCTCTGCCATTTTCTTTTCTTTATCAGGTATTGCTGAATTACAAATCTTTATTTGCTTGTGAAAGGTTTAAGTCTGTATTTTTTAAAATGTTCTCTAAATCTAGGCCATTGTGAAAGGAAAAATTGATCTTCTTCCCTTGAACATAAAGTAGTTTTCTCAACTGATGCATAAAGACTTTCACATGTTTTATTCTTTCATGGACCAGATAACTCTAACATGGTTGACACTTGCATGAAATAAGGCAGTCACAGATGCATGAGAACCCGCAACAAAGGATCCTTGGATAGCTGTGAAAAGTAAAAAAGTTTACTCAAGTTGCGGATATGGCTAAAAGAGCATGAAGAGGGCAATTTAATGTTGCTTCACGTATTTTTTAGATCATTAGTCAATAGCTCCCTGGACAGCGAAATCGGGGTGACCTCTGGCGCACTTGCAGTGCTGAGCTACTATGTTGTTGCTCATTGGGTTCTTAGAATACAGTATTCTGTGTAAATGTGTTCATTCTAATCACTTAAACTCAAGAGTTGTGGTCTCGGTCATGCAGCAGATACTTTCATGATTTTTTGGTATTGAAATTGAAACATGAGCAAGTATTACTAATAGCATATGATGGACTTGGTTAAGACACCTAAACAAAAACTTGAGCTAAAAAGTTCAGTTTTCAACTTAAGCTCGACTTGCAACTTCCTGAAACCCCTCTTGTTTTGGTTCGAATGCACTAAACCGTATTTTCCAGCTGCAATCTGCATACGGTCACGTACCTAAATAGCTTATACAAGGATCATGTGAAGTGGCAGCTCTGTACTATAAATCTAAGATAACCACAGAAGTTCAACCCTTACAAGAATTGTTGAGCAAAATAGTATAACAAGGGCAGGTTGGGTCAGATTTGGGCTTTGTGAAATAACCTATGCATCTACTATTTGCACCAGCAGAGACCCTTTCTAAAGAGAATTTTGCAGTAATTCCAAATGAAATGGGATACAAGATGAAATGTCTCAAAGAGCATAAAGCAGACACGATTGGAAGAAATTAGTGATTGCACCTTCATAAGAATATATTCATTAAAGCGCAGATGCATGGTACATGAAGTATTTACATAGTCCCTTCATCCAAATTATGTGATATGATGCGTATGAAAGATGGAGGAGAAGTTTAGACATATAAACCTCCATAAATCTACTATATACCTAGTGGATACAGTGGCCAACATACAAAACTTGATAGAAATTTTAGGAAATAACACAGGAATACTGCCACCACATATTTAGGGGTTCCGTTGTGTTCTAAGTACAAAAATACACAAGTATAGCAGGGAGTAATAGAAAAATTTGAGAAGAAGCTTGCAGCATGGAATCAAAATACTACGTAAGGGTGGCAAGTGGGCCAGTTAGGCCCAGTCCCAGCCCGGGCCTGCGAGCCCATATGGGTAGTGGGCCTAAACGGGCCTACCCGTTTAAGCCCTAAACCGGGGGGCTTGAGGCCCAAGTGGGCCGGTTCATTGAAGAAGCCCGTTAGAACCGAGATGCGTCCTAAGTGGGCCGGTTCAACCGGTACTAAATGGGCTCAAACGGCCCAACGACTATTTTTTTAAAACAAAAAAGTTTCCAATTTTTTTTGCCGTTACAACATTTAAAAAATGGTCGTTCGCCTGCAAAAATAGTCGTTTGGGCTTTCTGAAATAGCCATTTAATCCCCCCCAACTTTGTTTTAACTCCAAACTTTTTATAATTACACTTTTCCCCTATTTTCAACTATAAATACCCCCTCATTCTTTTATTTTTCTCACAAAATCATCAATTTCTCAAACTCAAATTGAAGTATTCAAGTCTTCAGGTCTTCACTCATCTCTTATTTCTCAAACTCAAATTCTTAATTTAAGTTAAATCATGCCCGGTGATTCTAAATTGCGCCCTTTGTTTTGGAACACTTTAATGTGGTAGAAAAAAATGAAGAAGTTTACATAATAAAGTGCAAGAACTGTGGTCGAGTCTACACTCATCCTCCAAAGTTGAAGGGCACACGCTATTTAAGGAGGCATATACAGAGTTGTCTTGCACGTTCTCCAGACATTCGTATTTAAGATTTTAAGTTGATTTGAGACAATTTGTATTATTTTAAAATTATTAGACATATTATGCTTAATGTTTTAGTTTGTTAGATTAATTTGAAGTGTTATGTTGAAGGCATTGAACTTTAATTTGAAGTATTAAATGTAAACTTTAATTTGCAACTTTGATGCCGAGTTCATCTTTAATATATATATATATATATATATATATATATATACATATAAGCAATTTATATAGTATATACGCATATTATAGATATAGATATAGTATATATAATATATATAAGCTATATAATTTACAAGAAATTGCCTTATGAAAAAAAAATCCTAAAAATAGGCCAGGCCCACACACACACACACACACATATATATATATATATATATATAAATATATACATATATATGAGCTATATAATTTACAAGAAAATGCTTTAGATAAAAAAAATTTAAAAAAAAACAAGGCTTAGGCCGACATATATATACTAGTGTGAGTAGCCCGATCTTCGCTCGGGCCCAATGCCAGGCTTTTTATAAAATCTTGAATATATCTCATTTGGACACGTCAAAGAGGCATCTTCAAAGGCATGCACATAAAGGAACTATCATGCATCAATGAAGCAGCATCTCAGCCAACACCGGACCTAACCAAAAAAATGTTGAGCTTAACAGCAGGCTTTAATTCCAGAAAACAAAAGGTGAAGAAGAGAATTTTCCTACATTTTAATACAAATTTGATATTCATAGTTTAGCATCAGATAAATCTGTATGAGGATCAATATTAAAAAAATGCCAACTCGAACCATGGAACGCTCGAAAAAAATCATCTGAAAAAGAGTTGATTGCATGCTCTTTTACGAACTGCCTGATTGCCAGGATATGCTTCCTAGAATCAGCAAGAGTAAGGTTTTTGCACACTGACAAGTGTTGCTCATATGCCTCGAAACTGTTTCCAAACAATATAATATTACTCAATAGATCAGGCCTCCAATTTGCCTCCAGAAGATTGTCATACAGTTCAGCTTCACAATGTGGCATGAAGAACATCATAGGTTTTAAAGCTTGCCGTCGACCCTGTTCATTTACTGTTAGGACAGAACAGCCAAGAGCTGCCAGTACGTTAGATTCTGCCAGAGAGATCACTGGATCAAATACCTCTACCTCTCCAATCCAGTTAAACATTCTTTTCATTAAAATTGCAAGACTAAGCTGTAATCTAGGAGGCTCATATGATTCTATGCTACCAATTCCATATATTACCATCGACATCTTTCCTCTTGAGCACACAGCTTTTAGAACCTGATCCAGTATTTCAGGGGTTTGTAACTGATCAGAAAATGTCAACCAGAAGGAGGAGCTCTCAAGTTTCTTTATGCAGTTTTGCATCTTCTGCATCAATTTAGATTCTCTCTCTGGATTGGTCTCGATATCTGCCGGAGTCCACATTTCCTCTTCCTCTTTCCGTTCGTGGATGATAACTTTATGAAAATTCCTTTTCTGTTTCCCACGCCGAGGCAATACGACTGTCCAGTCTTCGGCTGGGTTAGGCTTGTCATGAGCTAGTGTCTCTGCTGATGCAGCCATTCCTCTCAAGATGCTTGAGATGAAGCAGACCGAGTATGTTTGAAATATGTATGTTATTTAAGGACCTACAAGAAAAAATGAAATTATTACAGTGTGAATATGAGAATTCTAATATAACACTTCCAAAGACCTGTTATACGATAAAAAGTCACTTTACTTGATTAATGACCTTTTATTCGGATGCCTTCAGCAGACACATGAAAGATACCAACCACTACTATTCATAAATTGTCATTGCAATAATCAGCCCTAGAACACGATCGTAACATGTCCAGGCGAGGAGAAAGATACAGAACACTAACAAAAACTTGATATCCATATGAGTTATGCTTAAGCATTTATTTAGGAATATATCAGTGCTTTTCTGAGAGTAAAATAGCAATCTCAGGGAACAACACTTACAAGGGAGTTCAGTTCATTTAGGTTTAAGTTCGTCAACAAGTTGCCTTGGACACATTTGGCTAATGATGACCTTTACCCCTACGTATAATTTATTGCAGTTGCACCCAGTTTTTATACCTCTCTGGCCATGAAGAATGGAAGGGAAAAAAAGACTGCGCAATAGTTTATCTCAGTGGTATCAAAGGCGAAAAGAGCAACTAAGCTCTAAGCTCCGTTGGGGCTATAAGCGCAAAGCGCAAATAAAGCGTGGGCTATAATGAAAAAAGGCGCAACGGGAGAAAAAATAAAAATATACATGTAGTCCAACACTAATCATTATAAGCATGAATAACAAACACTATATGGACAAAGAAATTGAAAAAAAAAATCACGATAAAGTGGTCTTTTCAGGATTACACTCAGTGCCAAGAAAAGTATGTCTTAGAGCTTTGATGCGACACTAAAGCACCCACAAAGCAAGACGAAGCGCTCAATGTGTTTTGAGTTGAGCCTCACTTTAGGCCTTTGACAACACTGCATCTTATATAAATTCTGATGGTTGAGGCGTTGAGCTCCCTTTTATGGGGGTAATTCATGAATATAGAACAGACCAATAAGCAATAAACGCAAAATCTGAAATTTACATCTAAATCAGTGTTAAAAATAGCGTGAAGCGAGGAAAAGCGACAACCCCCATTTCACGAAAAACGAGAAGCGAAGCGCCCGCTTTTTTTAAGTGAAGCGGAATTATAAAAAAAAAAATTAAAATAAATACGGCATAGACAACACATGTAATTGTAAGCAAATGTTCAATACTTCAATTAAAAAACTAAAGAGTAGCATCATTAAAGCACAAAATGAGCATCCTATTCTTCTACAAGATTGTCAAATTCTTGTATTCCACTATCATTATTATATTGCTCGTCATCTTCTTCAATTTCATCTTCTTCATCAACTAGGGACAAAATAAAGATATATAATTTGGCAGAAATATGGCAGAATTTGGGCAGAATTTTTCTGAAAAAAATTCGCCAGCATTACGGTGCTTTTTGGACGTTTAGAAAGAAAAAGAAAAAGAAGAAGAATGAAAATAAAAAGTGCAAAAGCAAAACATACCCGTTAAAACTTGAAAGATGTTGTAGTCTTGAAGAAGAAAATAAGAACCCTAGTTTGCTTGAAGAAATCGCTAGTTTTAGTGAGGAAGAAATCGCTGGTTTAGAACCCTAGTTTGCTGCTGAAGAAGTCGAAGAAACTACTGGGTCTGGAACAGAAGTAAGCGATTTGGTCTTTTAATTGAAAAAAGACTTTAGGTCTTTTAATTCAAAAAGCGACCGCTTCTTCCGCTTCGCTCCGCTTCACCGCTTCTCGCTTTTTAGAGAGAAGCGGGCGCTTTTCTTTACCTGAGCCGCTTTTAACTGGAGTAGCGCCCAACCTCCCGCTCCGCTTCGCTTCTCGCTTAAAGCGAGGAAGCGGGCGCTTTTCTGAACAATGATCTAAATATAAAACCTAAGCAAATTTTAAGAGAAACATCCAAACAAGTAAACCCCAAAAGCATTCCCTGCTACTCCCTCCATCCCAAAACACAATTATTCCGCAATTCCCAGACGCTAATAGCGGTTAAGCTAGAGAAATTTAAATACAATTTCAGATTATATTCTTTCTGAGTTCTAACCTTCTCAAAGAACCTACTATAATTAAAACGTATAAATGTAACTGTAAATTTCAATTCTAATACTTTTTAAGATTTAACCCTCTTAAAATACCGAATAAAATTAGAAAACTAATATAACTACAAACTAGTATATGCTCTCATATGTCCGTGTGTGCGTGTGTGAGAGAGAAAAAATGGAAACTAGACATATAAGACAATCAGCGAAATATTAGAATTTTCATAAACGAGCTGATAAAATTCTACAGAACCTAGTAAAAGGATAACAATAACATTAGTTATCATTCAATCGAATCGCTCAAAAGATAAGCCCAAAAAGTTCCATATTTTTCAGAGGACAGTGAATTACTGAGTTAATCATCTAAGGGAAACAAAACAAACAATGAATTTCGACAATTCAATAGGAATACAACAGATTTGCAAAACCATATAACTAATCGGAAAAAGGGAAAGCACATGTATGCAGCTTAGAAAAAATATGAGAGAATTGAAATAAGAAAGGAGAGAGCCTTACGATGAAAGCGAAAGAGAGAAGAGATGTCCTTCTAGCAAAAATTCAATAATCAAACTTGCTCTCCTTCAATTCCACCATTTTCACTTACCTATGTGAAAATTGGGAAAGCAGAATTCCAAAGATAAACATCAGTTATACAAGTGGAGCACCACAAGAGTTATGATTGAGAGAGTTCAAGTACTGTTAACCAACAGTACGAAGATTTCACATTTCACCTGGATTTAGGGTTTTGTATTAGATAGGGATAAATGAGGGTAGGATTTGCAGCAGGTAGCCCATTTTAGGGGTGCTACTTAATATTTTAGCCGAACATGGCAAATTTCAGACCTGCGCTCTAGACATGCACCAAAGGAGAGCAAACTACCACTACTATACTACCAATTTCAATGTTCAAGCTTCTAATTGAACCGGGAATTGAAGAGGTTCTGTTACATAACCAAATTTGGAAAACGGATAACGGCAAAATGTTTAATATCCGTTGGATTTAATATTAATATTCTGTTATTAAAATAGATTTTTAATAATATTATTATTAATAAAATACTATTAATAAATAAATTTGATTCAAAAAATTAATCAATCAATCAATCATTTGACCAAAAAAGCCGAAGCCGAAGCCGAAGTCGAGCGACGACGACACGAGGCTTGCCTTCTTCTCAACTCTTTAAGAGCTAGAAGAAGAGCAATTGCTTATACACCTATCAAAAACCTCTTCCTCTTCCAATATGGGACAATCTACCTTTGACAAGGGAGAAAACTTAAAATTTCACTTAAAATTTTTATTTTCCTTCATTTCCCTTTCACCCTCGTTTAAGCCATATTAATGATTAAAACCCCAAAAATCCCCCACATGAATGGGGAATGGCTATATCACGAAAATATGCATGAAAAATTGTGTGATTTGCAAGCAAGGATTAATTGCATCTGGATAAGTGGGTTTCCCTTTGAACTTTTCGTAGTGAACTTATGTCGGATATTCAAGTTGGGCTTCCTTCCTTTCCGACTTGAATTATTTTAAAGTGTGGGGGTGTTTGGTAAAAGTGCAAGTTCCTAAACCCAAAAGGGTAAAAATAGGACCGAAAATCGTTGATTGTGTTTTCATAGGATATGTGACCAATAGTAAAGCATATCGTTTTCTGGTTCATAAATCAGAAAATCCCAACATCATAATAATACGGTTATAGAATCAGATAATGCTGAATTCTTTGAAAATATATATCCGTATAAAAAGGAATGTGAGTCGATTGGTGAAGGATCTAAACGACCTCGGGAAGAAATAAAAGAAAGTACATTTAGTCAAGAGGATCCAAGACATAGTAAACGTCAAAGAACGTCTACTTCATTTGGACCAGATTTTGTGACTTTCTTATTGGAGAATGAGCCTCAAACATTTAAAGAAGTTATGTCGTCTTCGAAATCATTGTTTTGGAAAGAGGGAGTCAATAGTGAAATATAATCCATATTGAACAACCATACATGGGAATTGGTTGATCTTCTTCCTGGAAATAAACCTTTGGGTTCTAAATGGATCTTTAAGAGGAAAATGAAAGATGATGGCACTATTGATAAATTTAAGGCAGGACTTGTAGTCAAAAGGTATAGACAACGCGTTTTGGGATATTTAGAACATACTCAAGGCTTTGCTTTGCACTACAATAAATATCCTGCAGTGGTTGAGGGATACTGTGATGCAAATTGGATCACCGGTTCAACTGATTCTAAGTCCACAAGTGGATATGTGTGGAGGAGCGGTATCTTGGAAATCATCCAAACAAACTTGTATTGCCCGCTCTACAATGGAGGCTGAATTCGTAGCCTTAGATAAAGCCGGTGAAGAAGTTGAATGGCTTCGGAATTTTTTGGAAGGCATTCCATTTTGGCCCAAACCGTTGGCACCAATGTGCATACATTGCGATAGTCAAGCGGCAATCGAAAGGGCTGGGAGCGTTATGTATAATGGTAAATCTCGTCATATACGACGAAGACATAAAACCGTTGGGCAATTACTCTTTAGAGGAATTATCACGATTGACTATGTAAAGTCTAGCGATAATGTGTTGGATCAACTTACAAAAGGCCTAACTAGAGAGGTAGTGAGAAATCATCAAGGGGAATGGGACTATGGCCGAGAACAAGTCATTAACCTAGAAGACTGGAGATCCCAAAATCTAGGTTCAAGGAGATCAAACAAAGTCATTAATGACGGTTCAACATTGTTAACTAAAATTTTGGTCCATTCTCATGAGGAGACAATGTTAAGAACCAAGGATAAAACATTAAGGTTTTTTAATGATTTCTAAATTTGATACGGGGTATATCAAATAGTGTATCTACGGGATGACACGTTTAGGAATCACCTATGTAAGTGTGAAGTGTTAGCCGCTTTAAGAAGAATTTTGTAAGGTCATTTCTCTACGCACTTATGAAACCAAGCGGTATTCATGGCTGAAACGAACACAACAATGAGAATCAAAGACGGTTAAGGGTTGGTTGTGTGACTTATGGTTGTCTAGGTATACACCAAAGTTCGACGGTTCAAAGATATCAAATCTACTGATTGACCGAGTATATCCGACATAAGTTCACTACGAAAAGTTCAAAGGGAAACCTACTTATCCAGATGCAATTAATCCTTGCTTGCAAATCACACAATTTTTCATGCATATTTTCGTGATATAGCCATTCCCCATTCATTTGGGGGATTGTTGGGGTTTTAATCATTAATATGGCTTAAACGAGGGTGAATGGGAAATGAAGGAAAATGAAATTTTTAAGTGAAATTTTAAGTTTCCTCCCTTGTCAAAGATACATTGTCCCATATTGGAAGAGGAAGAGGTTTTTGATGGGTATATAAGCAATTGCTCTTCTTCTAGCTCTTAAAGAGTTGAGAAGAAGGCAAGCCTCGTGTCGTCGTCGCTTGACTTCGGATTTGGCTTTTTTGGTCAAATGATTGATTGATTAATTTTTTGGATCAAATTTATTTATTAATAGTATTTTATTAACAATAATATTATTAAAAATCTATTTTAATAACAGAATATTAATATTAAATCCAACAGAATATTAAACATTTTTCTGTTATCCGTTTTCCAAGTTTGGTTATGTAACTGAACCTCTTCAATTCCCGGTTCAATTAGAAGCTTGAACATTGAAATTGGTAGTATAGTAGTGGTAGTTTGCTCTCTCCTTTGGTGCAGGTTTGGAGCGCAGGTCTGAAATTTGCCATGTTCGGCTAAAATATTAAGTAGCACCCCTGAAATGGGCTACTTGCTGCAAATCCTACCCTCGTTTATCCCTATATAATACAAAACCCTAAATCCAGGTGAAATGTGAAATCTTCGTACTGTTGGTTAACAGTACTTGAACTCTCTCAATCATAAGTCTTGTGGTGGTCTACTTGTATAACTGATGTTTATCTTTGGAATTCTGCTTTCCCAATTTTCACATAGGTAAGTGAAAATGGTGGAATTGAAGGAGAGCAAGTTTGATTATTGAATTTTTGCTAGAAGGACATCTCTTCTCTCTTTCGCTTTCATCGTAAGGCTCTCTCCTTTCTTATTTCAATTCTCTCATATTTTTTCTAAGCTGCATACACGTGCTTTCCCTTTTTCCGATTAGTTATATGTTTTTGCAAATCTGTTGTATTCCTATTGAATTGTCGAAATTCATTTGTTTGTTTTGTTTCTCTTAGATGATTAACTCAGTAATTCACTGTCCTCTGAAAAATATGGAACTTTTTGGGCTTATCTTTTGAGCGATTCAATTGAATGATAACTAATGTTATTGTTATCCTTTTACTAGGTTCTGTAGAATTTTATCAGCTCGTTTATGAAAATTCTAATATTTCGCTGTTTGTCTTATATGTCTAGTTGATTTCCATTTTTTCTCTCTCTCACAAACACACGGACAAATGAGAGCATATACTAGTTTGTAGTAGTTATATTAGTTCTCTAATTTTATTGGGTATTTTAAGAGGGTTAAATCATAAAAAGTACTAGAATTGAAATTTACAGTTACTTTATACGTTTTAATTATAGTAGGTTCTTTGAGAACACGCACGTTGACGGAGAGGTGCCTGTGTTCCCTCTTCTAATAAGTAGGAATATATATAGCCCGGGACCATTAGTTCGTGGTCCCGGTTTGGTTACACCCAAAAGCCCACGAAGCTCGGGACCGCTTAAGCCCATCCCACTTAGAACCGGACCGTTTAGGCCCGGCCCGCGAGACCCGTTTAGGACTGGGCCCGAACCGTTTGCCACCCTTAATACTACGCCAGGTGAGAGAGTAACTTCGACAAAAAGAATGTTGGATAGTATCCCAACCTGTTTGATGTCTTTTCCGAATTCCAGGAAAAGTCCCAGGTCAGCCAGAAGAAATGAGAAGACTTTTATTGGAAGGCAGCAACACTCTACATAAGTTTCCTGTGGTGAAATGGAAAACAGTTATATAACCCAAGCGCTTTGACTGTTCAAGTTTCCCTCTCATGTTCAATGTGAAAAAGAATTGTTTTTGTGTAGCAACAACCTTCATAATGATGATACCTTATCAATAATTAATAAGGAAGGCCGGGCTAAAGGTAACTACTTTTTGCTCCCCCAGTGAGTAAAGGAGGTACGGGGATCATGTATCTGATAGCGCATAACAAAAACCTACTCATGAAATTGTTATGAAGATATAACAAAAGTCTACTCATGAGACTTCACTTTAACTTGAGGATCCCCACCGAAAGCACCACATCTCCAACTACCGGCACAAACTCCAACTTTGTGATAGCTTGAAGGCTGACACTTGTGTGCCTCGTGGTTTCTGAGTAACCGGATAGCCAAGGTTTCCGAATTGTTTGAGATGATGTTGTAGGACTTTCAAGAAACTATTTGTGACAACATTATGGATGGCCAGAAAACAGCTAATTTAAGGAGAAAAAAAGAAGAAGTATTAACACCGATGGCATAACTGGAGATTTTCCAGAAAAGAAGGGTAAAGGGTTGAGAAAAAAGAAAAGAAAAGTAGGAAGAGTAGTACGAGAATGATAAACTGCAGAACTATCAAAGCATAAACTTCAGAACTTCCACCAGATGGTTTAACTTTCTAATCATGCTGACATCCCGTAAAGCCATCATCTTGACGAAACTGTTGATACTGATGACACTTCAAATGATGAAAAGCCACAAAAAGCCATGTTATCCAGTATCTAATTCCAGCAATAAGGCTACATGGAACAGAAGGTTTGAGCAAGTGCAAGATCAAAAATAAAACTTTTTCAGAGTTAAAATCAGCAACAACATATGGACAGGACCATGAATGTAGAAGGTTCTATTTGAATCGGGGGCGGGGGGGCACCAAAGCCTGTTCCAGGAAGCCATTCTCTTAGTACATGCAGCTAAATCAACATGAAATTATTGTTATATAAAACAGCGTGAATGCAATTAAGAGTAACTATTTATATAGTTCTAAATACTTGATAAGACAGAAATGATGTCGACACATTTATAGATTGTCTGAAGGTGGCTATCCTAACTTTTATTGAATGTAAATCTGAAAAATTATGTATAGTCTAATCAGTCCATAATTTAATAAGGGAAAAATAAAATAGATGAACTCTGCTATAGCGTTAACACTCACTTGAATCCATAAGCTACCAACACTTCATCTGGTTTCCTGCCCTGTGAAAAATCCAACCCATTCTTGTGCAGAAAATGATGAAGTAAAATCTGCCGAAAGAACAGGTAAAATCAATATTCTACTTAGTGTGATCAATATTACCAATGTCACTAAAACGCAAAGGGAAAAACACAGACAACATTACCAACATATATGCACACACTACCAGTAGAATGTGTCTTTTTTTCTTAAAGAAAAACTCTTCTGAATTTATCACATTATGATTGAAGCTGTTGATTGATGAAATCTCGAAATTAAGTAAATTCTACTTTGTGTAATCTTTCAAGACATTTAAACTAAGACTTATAACAGCATAAGCTACATGTAAGTATTCCAATGAAACTCTCAGTGAAGAATGTCTACACAAAGCTATATATGATTAACACATTCATCTATCATAGATGTCGTACCACTATAAGTACATGAGAATTAGATTCTCCAGATGCCCAATCAGTTGCTCCTACTTTGCAACTTGTGCTCGCAATTGCTTTGCAATCACTGTCCAAGTAAATGCATAATAGGGCAAAGAGATACACAATCACTAATAAAGAGCCAGGCCTTTATCAAGAGCAGAGGAAGAGAACAATCACTAATAAAGAGCCAGGCCTTTATCAAGAGCAGAGGAAGAGAACTAATATATAAGTATAACGACATACATAATTTCACCTCAGAACATAAATCCATTAATTCCCTAACACAATATTACTGTAAGAGCACGGAATTCCATTCCAGCTATTCAACTTTTAATCATTCAAAAGTTAGTCCTATTTCTCTTCTTTTTTTTCACTTTCCAAGTTATCATCTAATAACTGAGAGAATGGTATAAATGCTCAACTATATTCAATACTATTGTTCAGCTCCCCTAAAATAGAGCGAGAAGGGTGCCATAGTTCTCTAGGCCTCAAAATAGGAACAACCCTTCTAGTTATGTAATCTGGAAATTAAATGCCTACATCTATGAGCTCTCCTTGTACTTGGTATATCTTCTAGTCTAATTCTAGCTTCCGTTTGTATCTGTGCTTTAACAAAAAATTGATATAGTAAATTAACATATATTCCTCTCGCCCATTACTGCACTACTTAGTCAACTTCTAGTCATGTTTGTTTGAACTTTTTAGGCGGAATGGCTTTCTGGCCACTTAAACTTGACGGGGTTTTAAAAGTCGATACAGAAACTTTTAACTTTCCCATTTGAACACTCGAACTCATTTTCTCCGTAACTAATAAACACATTTGACCATTGACCATGCCCATGTGGCGTCAGTTGGTCCTAATCAGCAGGTCGCGTGAGGAACACGACGCACAGGAGCGTGAAAGCCCCCTTCCCAACGCCCAACAGTACAAAATGGGTTGTATTTAATTGTCTTCTTATTCATTCCTTCCAAAATACCCCTTTCCTCCATTTTTAAAAATCTGAAGCTCCATTCCTCCTCCTTGTAAAATTTGAAGCTCCGTTTTTAATTTTTTTTTTTGAAAGAATTACATGAAAATACACATGACTTCACACCATAACAAAAAATGGCCCATGTTTTTAAGTTTTACCCTACCTAGCCCATATTGTACATATTTTGAAAGCACTAACAAATTCAAAATATGTGTTCTTACAATCATTGCTTTTAAAAGCTATGGAGTTAAATATGTATTCTCACAACCATTGCTACTCTCTCTTCTTCTCATATCTTCTACATATGCTTCAAGGGGCTGAGTATTTTCTGCTTCTCTACATGTGTCACCTGGTTGCAATGTAAGAAAATTGAAAAGTAGAGGTCCACCATTGAAGGCCATTCAAAGCTTTGCTTTCGAAAATATGATCTTTGATTTCGTTAATTGTTTGGATTGGGTGTTCCATTGATTTCAAATATCAAAAGGAGTTCAAGCTTTAAATTTGAAGTGATTTGAAGTAGATTTGAGCAAGATTTGAGTTAAATTTCAGAAAAGACGCAAGGAAGAAGACGAAGTCAGTTTTTTGTATAATATTGTATAATAGTGTATATGAGTGTATAAACACATCTGATACACTATTATACACTTTTATACACCTTTATACAACGTCTGTAGACGAACTTCTTCCACGGTTTTCAGTTGCAATTCTTGGTCAAAACCAGTGCAAATCTCCATTAAATTACTTCAAATTTTATATACAACCTCCTTATACTATTTCTAACAAGTTTAAATAATACCCACTCCAAAATTCTCACGAAATCAAATTTGGAATTTAAACCCACATATTTAAGCTTGTTAAAAATTTAATTGTCACTATCCAAGCGGCTTTGACTTGTTGAACTAATAATTGAGTCACAGTTACTGATTCGAAAGATAACTTAAAAACTTGAACGATCTTTTTTAAAAATTAAATAGTAATTTGGAGAACCTATTGGAGTTGAATGTTGAGTATTAGCCTATTATTTTTGGGTTAGTTGGTTGTAAATTGAAATATGGGCTATAAAATTGAAAAGTAGAGAGCTCAGTTGTTCTTATGTGAAATTTTTTTCCATTTTTTTTCATCTTTTCAGACCGTGAAAATGGTGGAAAGTTGTATATTTAGTCATTGAAGAGTTGAAGATAAGTTTTGTATCACTTGGACCATACGAAGCTCGATCAGAACAAGATTAACAAATAATAAACGAAAACAAAAAACAAGTGAGTGACTATGATCGATTTTGGAAGGGGGGTGAATGATTATGATCGATTTAGGAAGTTCATCCAGCACGATTGACCTCACGCCATATCCACCACCATAAACAAGTCCTTTTTGAATGTTGGAGAAGGTGAAAAAAATGTGGAAGATTCTGGAATTTAGCGATCGGAGAAGGTGAAAAGAATCTTCTAGATTTTTTATGCAAATGGCGATGCGGGTCTTAATTGCGAGGAAATGGCAGCTTTGGTGGTTGTTGTAAACCCTAGGGTCATCTTCGGCGATGAGCACATCAGTGTCGTTCTCGACGAGATTTTCCGGAACTTATGGAGAGTTCATCGATGGCGAGAAGGGCCTTACATATGTTCTCCTCACTTTTAAAATTCTTTTCACCTTCTCCGATCATAAAAATTCTGGAATGAATAGAGGAAGGTTTTGTCAGAGAGAGGCTAAAATGGGGGGGGGGGGGGTTGGTCTATGGAATGAAAGAGGGGACCAGGGTTAGGGTTTTCGCGCCCTTGACGTGTAAGACATCCATTGGTCATTTGCTGACTGGATGGATACGTATGTGTATGTGTAATACACGTGCACATGTGTTTATTAGTTACGGAAAAAATGAGTTCGAGTGTTCAAATGGGAAAATAAAAAGTTAATGTATCGGCTTTAAAAAACCCGACAAGTTTAAGTGGCCAGGAAGCCATTTTGCCTACTTTTTATATGTATGCACAAAAATCTTTTTCCATTGTTTGACTTTGACACGTGCCCTACTTTCACTCATATTAACAGGAAGAAATTTAAAATCACTCGAATGCAAAAGTAGCATGAGCATTTTTTAGTCAAAATGTAAAAAGATGAAGTAGGAAGTTAACAAATTATACCAATAAACTCTTTGCTCCATTGGCCAACCACTGCCAGCAAACTGTCTCTATCTCAGATTCTATGCCCTTATAGATATCATGGTCTGATGGTCAAAGCTTTGAGGACAGACTAAGTAAACACAAAAAATCGTTACGGTTGAAAAGGGTATCTTTTACGTGAAGAGGCCAGGGTAAAATCATCAAAATGTTCAATCTGCAATTAACAACCATAAAAACTTGATGCAAAGAACATGGGAACCTCATAGTCTATAAATGAGCCAAAAGTAATATCTTTGGAAGTTTTTCCACTAAGGATTTACAATTCCCTCCTTCTTGTTGCAATGCACCAGTGTAGTTTCCTTAAGGTATAATCGTTTCAAATGTCGCTCGTACACTGATAAAGCAATAAGCTTTTTACACATCTTAAAATGTATGACATAAAGTCCAATTTGTATGGACAAATATGAAAAAGCACCACAACTCTTTACTGTATGGGGATACATCAATATGAAACAAAAATTTCTCCTAACACTTTAACCATATGATAAGGATACCACCATTTCTATTTGGATATATGGAGCAAAAGAGTAGGGAATAAAAAAAATGGGGGAGGAAATCAGAAGAACCAGATCCCTATAGTTGAAACAATAAAGAACCAACTCATTTTTTTCATGTAAACTCAGAATAGAAAAACGAAATAAAATTGTAGCTCAAATCAAAGGAAGTTACAGGTTCATCACTTCTGAAATCCCCAATTTAAAACTCTTCGTGAAATGACAAAACCTTCAAATACAAACGAAAACGGTGAATGGTCAAATAGCCGACGGAAACCCCAATTTCTTTTCAAGTCTTTTTTTGACTTACTCAAAATCAACATAAAACTACAACAGAATTTCAAATAACAAAGCAAGAAGAACCATGAAACAAAACAATCAGATTAACCCATATAAGGAAAAAAGATAGAACAGTAAAACTAACCTTTCAAGCATGTGATTATTTTAATGGAGCAAATATGGAACTGCAAACAATCCAGCAAAAACCCCAATTTTCTGTCATTCTGATTAAACAATGAAGAAGTAGAAACCAAAGGAATTCCAAACAAAACGAAGAGAGAGAGAAAACCAGTTCAGCGATGACCGTCAAAGTAAACTTCGAAATTACCAATTTAAATTTCTCTGCAAGAAACAAAAGCAGCAACTGCAGGGGCATAAGAGGGCAAGAAAAAGCATTGGAAAGACCACACTGTCCTCTGTCAGTAAGCAGACATGATGACCCTCGCCTGCTTTACCGCTCTTCGATTTGAGGGCGTGATTTTGCCTCACATGAATTGGTCCTACAAAACTCCCAAAATTAAATTTTTTCTTTTAGTTGTTTGTTATTTTTAAGAATTATTGTAGAATTTTCTTGATTGTTTGTATTTTTGTGTGTATGTTTAATTTTATTTAATTCAGAAAAAATACAAAAATATGTTGCATTTGCATCTAGGATTTAATTTTATACTTTTAGATTAATTAGTGAATTAGTGTTTCATAAAAAATGGAAAATCACAAAAAAAATAATTTATTTTGCATTGTTTAATTTTTAGCTTTGAATTGTATTAGTTTTCTTTTAATTTGGTCTTTAATTAGGTGTGGTAATTATTAGAGTTAATTAATTTAATTTAGCAGGATAGTTTGTATTAGGAATTAATTTAAGTTTTTATTTTTAATTTTGTAAAGAAAAAGAGTATTTAAAATAAAAGAAAAGGAAGAAAGATTGAAAGAACAGGATTTTGGGCCAAGAATTTAAAACTCTCCAAGCCCAAATCGATTTGTGCCCTGATACCCGCCAACCCAGGCCCAAACACCGTTACAAACCCCGGTCTGCCCCTACAAATAAACCAAACGACACCGTTTTGATAGCCCAAATCAGGACCGTTGATCTCTTTTGATCTAACGGTCCGAAACTGGGGTTTTGTTTAATATATAAGTGTCTGAATGTTACCCCCCCCCCCCAAACCCTTCTATCTCATTTCATTTCTTCTTCAGAGACTTCAACACCAACGCTAGCGCCGCCCCATGATTCCGCCGTCTTTCGGTGGCAGCGCCACCACCAAATTCGGCCCCGATTTACACCATAGCATCCCCTTCCTCCCCTCATTCCAAATCCTCACTCCGTTTCCCTCGAATCTTGCCAGAACTTCTCAAATCTTAAATCAAAGATTCGAACCCTAAATCCCCAAAACCTAAATCAGTAGCCTATTAAAGATTTGGAGTCAAAAATGGCTTTATTCATGTGTTTTCATTTGAGAACACGTGATTAGAGCCCATTTCGGCCAAAATCAAAGGCTCGAGGAGTTGGATTCCAGATTATGCCCGTCCAATCTCTTTAGGTATTTTTCAGTCGCTTTTTCTTTCTTCTTTCTTGCATTTTTCTTCTTCTTTTTCAGTTAAGATCATTTTTATCTCCTTTTCTGTTTTATTTCTTTCGTTTATGTGTTTCATTTTTGCCGTTATGGTCTTTTTTGCTATGTCTAGCTTTATAATAAGTTTAGTTATTTGTTTGGTTAATTGGTTTTATTTCCCTTTCTCTCTTGTTTTTAGCTTCATTTTAAAAGGTTCCCAAGTTTTTCTTTTGGGAAATTTTGGTCAGTCCTTAAAATTGTGAATTTCTGGTTGGTTTGAATTGGGCTCTGAAAATTAAGAGCGCAAAAGGGGATTTAACTTGGATTTACAGACCTATAATATTCTGAATTGGGTCAGTTTGACCTATGTCTGGTCTGGTTTCAAGGGGTAATAACAGGGGTATTGAAGGGTAAATTAGGAAATCTAGGTAGAGAATCTCTTGTAACTGATTGAAGAAAGCTTCCAGGAGGTTGTCCTTAGGACCTAACTGAAATTCTGAATTTTACATTAAGGGTATGTGAGCAAAAATCAAAATTTCAAAAGGTTTAAAATGCAAAATTATTTTCAGCGTTGCTGCCCTAATACCTTGCCTATAAAGGCACCTTTTCTTCAAGCTCAAGTCAGAAATTAAGAGAAGAAAGATCCTAAAAATTGAAACGGCTGCTTTTCTTTGAAGAATTCTGAAATAACCTTGAATTCCCTGCAGTTCTTTGCTGAAAACAGCTCAAATTCTGTTTTCTGATCCTCTTTATTAGCTAGAATTTCTAAAGAACTTCACATTTCTGCACCTGAGTTAAAATGGATTGAGCCTTGGATTTTTAAAAGTTTTGGTTTTGAGTTTTTGCTGTTTGGTTTACTGTTCCATTGCTGGGTTGGATCTGGTTCCTGTTGATGCTTCTCATTGTTGATCTACTACTGCTGTTTGTTTCTTCCCAATCTCAAAATTGAGTTTCTAGTCCTGTTTTTGCTATATTCAGGTACATGCTCCTAAACCTCAATTGTTTTGTGAAGTTGACTTGAAGAATGAAATGAAAAGCAGGAATTTAAAGCATAGCATTCGTTTATTTTGTTGATTCAGTCGTGTTACTTTGATTTGTTCTTTTTAACTTGATGTGTTATATTGTCTAATTGAATTTTGGCTTGGATAAATGAGCTTTTACTATTGTATCTAATTTGGGATCGTTATGAAAATTGGGAGAACAATTTGTTTGGTAGAATCAGCAGTTTAGGCTCTACATTCCATCATATTAAAGTGTGTAATGTGGACTGCATTGGACATTTTTTGCTATGTAGTTCATTTAAATTATTGTCACATGTTGGTTGTGTTTGATGCTGCGATGTTCATGAAGTTGGGTGGCTTAATGTTTCTCTTAAGTTTAGTATGTATAAAATCATGTTAAGAGAAAAGGAAATGGTCTAGGTTGATTCAAAGGGTAAAGCATGCATTGATCTACTTTTGGATGGCATGTTGAATATGTTTAAACTTAGAATTGGTATTCGGAATGCTCAATCAGTCGGTGTGGGTTTGAATGGTTAAAATGCAGAAGTAAGAATGTTAATCCAATGCCATGTTTCATATAGCCTTGTTGGGTCTGCATTTCAAGTGGTTTGGTATCATGGATTAGGTTCTGAAGTTGGGCTTATAGCTGACCCAGTTGATGAGTGTTCCATCTAATTTACTTGTGAGTTTGTATAAGTGTGAATATTAAAAATGCAGAAGTATTAGCTAGTGTTTCAACAGTTAAAATTCAGAAGTAATTATCAGTTTAATTTTGTGTTTGTTTAGTCTTACTTGGTTGGCATTTAATTGAATCTGCATAATTGTTTGGCTCTGAATATTGGGTTTAGTGTTGGCCCAATGGTTAAAAGTCCCACTTCAGACTGTGTGCCATGCCATGGACGCCTTTGCTGCTATCAAGAATTGGGCTCATTTGGGCCCAAGCCTGAAGGTGTTTGCGAATGAATTGTTTTGCCTTTTGGACCTGTTTCATTTCATAAAAATACAGTTCTTTCATTAAGTTTGAACTTTTAGCATAGAAGGTAATTTGAATTCCTTTAGGTTTTTTCTTAATTAACCAGACTCTTTAAAATGGGTTGAGGTGCGCCATATTAGCCAAATGTATAATTTATGGCCCTCATAAGCTAATTTAGAAACCTTTTGGTTAGAATAAGAAACCTTTTGGTTAGAATAAATTGAGGTGCGCCGTGCCAAACAAAATCTCAAAATGCATGGCCCTCACTTGACTAATTTTAATCCTTAGAAATTGAGGCGTGCCATTTAGTTGAAATTTCCATGACCCTCGCAAAGTTGAAAGTGCGTAGTTGCTTTAGGCGCGCTATTTTAAAAATTACCTTCCTAAACTCGGGTGTGCATTTCATGTGACCCAAATCTAAATCTCAACAACGTTAAATAAAATCTATCTGCGGGTGCATTTCATGTGGCGTGGTCCAAAGACGCATTTTAGATGACGTTGAAATCTTCTTAAAATTAATTAAAAGCATTAATAAGTTGTAACTGAACCATAGGCTAAAACTTATATTAAAGTCAGATAATAGGCCAATTGTGATAGTTTAAGCGACCGTGCTAGAACCACGGAATCCAGGGGTGCCTAACACCTTCCCCGGGGTTAACAGAATTCCTTATTCAGAATTTCTGGTTCGCAGACTTCAAAAGGAAAGTCGAATTTTCCTCGATTTGGGATTTAAAATAAACCGGTGACTTGGGACACCAGAAAACAAACCATCCCAGGTGGCGACTCTAAACAAAAAATGAATAAATAATTCCATTTCGAATAATGTCACTTAAATTGGAAAAACTCCCTTATATATACTTTCGGGTGTGTAAAAAAGAGGCGTGACAGCTCTGGCGACTCTGCTGGGGATTAAACCCAGAACTTCGATTCAGGGTTTAAGAATTCGAGCTTAGAATAGCTGTTGTAATTGGCTTTACTTATTATCTGATTTTTTCTTACATGTTTAAGCCTAATGTGTTAAATGCCGCTTTTTACCGCTTTGATATTGTGTGAACTGTATATAAACTGCTAAGAAACTCTCCTATCTCTGAGTCTTCTAAATCATCTGGGAAGGGTGCACTTCGTGTAAATTCTCTTCTGTTATAGTCATATCCAATTTTAGAACGAGGTTCGGACAAGTTGCAAAGCCGGTGAAGCTTATGTATTCCCGGTACGCTGCCCCCCCTCGGCTCGAGTTGTTCGCTCGGGTAAGCCAGGTCTAGAACAATAAACCTAGGTTTTTAAACCTAGTATAACAAAGCCTCATGTCGGATCCCTAGTAGTAACGCTTGTTTGCATCACATGCATTTGACTTAGGGGACTGAATACAGGGGTTGAGTCCGTCTAGGACAGGTGTACCCGAAATGAAAAGACCATCCTGATGCATCCTACTTGCTACTTGTGCATTTATTTGCTTCGGATTTGCATGTTGACCGGCTCATGAATAATAGGAGAAAGTTGGAAAAAGAAGAGTCAGTGTGAGGATTAAGAGGGATCATTGCCCGTTTTTGAAAAAACCAATGTCCAAAAATGTACTGAAACTCTGCCGAAATTTAAAAAAAAAAAAAGAAAATCTTGTTTTTAAAATAGTTGGTGTTTTTTTATTTTGTCAAATCTGCCCGAACTACGCTAGTTTGATTCTCATGGGATGTGGGATACGTAGGCAACCCCCATCGGGTCCAACTTCCCTTTTTGCAAAAATAGCCCAAAAAGAACAAAAATTTTATTTTTATTATAAATAAGTAATGTGATGTCATTC